CGGGGCCCAGCAGGCCAGGCCAGGGCTCTCTGGGTGGCCCTTCCCCAGGGACAGTCTGGGGCAGAGCCCAAGGCCTCCAGGGCCAAGCTGGCATGAGCACCCTGCATGCTGTCCAAACCCCGAGGTTTGCAACCAAGAGGGGACCCACAGGAACGCGTGAGGGGCAGGTGTCAGGGCCTCGCCACCCGGGTCCTGGCCTCCTGGGTCTGGGCGCAGACGCCATGGGCTTTGCCAGCCCTGCACTGCCGGGTCTCCAGAGCACCGTGGAGCTGGTTCACATCAGCTGCGCTGAAACGAAGGAGCCACGATGGCAGTGATGACACACAGCAGAGGGTCAGGGAGCCACCACGGCCGTGAGTGACGCTGACCCTCACACCCTGCCACAGGCTGCCCCCGGCACCTGGGACCGCTGGGCAGGCACAACCCCTGTCCCCGACGGCCGGGGTGGCCCTCAGCCGGGCCCAAGTGTAACTGCGTCCAGCACTGGCTCTGCCGATGCCCGGCTGTGACCTTGGGCGCCCCTTGCCCTCTCTGGGCTTGTCTCCTCGCCCCTCAGGGAAAGGCGGCCGTGACCACAGAGGTTCTGCCGCCCCGGGTCTGTGGGTCAGCGACCGAGGACTCCTGAGCAGGCAGCTCCGCCGACAGCCGCGCCTGGGAGACGGGCCCGCGCTGCTCCCGCCAGCACTCTCCGCTCCTGAGCACGCCCTGCAGGTGAGCAGCCGCTGCTCAGTGCTGGGGAGCCCCAGGGGGTGGGGTGCAGAGGCTGCTCGGTGCTGGGGAGCCCCAGGGGGTGGGGTGCAGAGGCTGCTCGGAGTTGGGGAGCCCCAGGGGGTGGGGTGCAGAGGCTAGAAAGGGGTGTTCCACAGAGGGGCCGCTCTTACCGAGGGCAGCACGTGGGGATGTGGGAGAATTCTCCCGAGGAGGCACCGTTTTAAGGAGAGAGCAGTGAGAAGGAATCTGGTGCTTGCCCTCCTCCTCCCGGTGTGGGCAGCTAACTGAAGTTTTCAAAATCCGTCTGCAAACGCAGGCATCTGTGGACCGGACAGAGCTGGGGCCCCTGAGGCTCCCCCACTTCGCACTGAGCACAGGCCCACACACTGGGGGGCACAGCACACACGCAGCACGCATGGCCAGCCACGCCCCGAGCCGCCCTGAGAACCCACCTCTACGCTAACGAATGACCAGGGCTCAGCCTGGAGGGAGCGCTTCCCGTGTGAGTGGGAGGCGCCTGCACCCCCAGGCCGGGCACTCCGTGGGCCCCAGATCAGCAGGAGCCAGGAGCCTGCCACCTGCAGCTCTAACCACGCCCATGGCTCGGGTTTGGGCTGCCCGGGAGGCTCCTGCCGGGGCTTGGTCACGTGTCACCCGTGCAGCTGGCCACCTGCTCTGCACCCACAAGGCCAGCAATACTGCCTCCCAGCGTAGACATGTCACCAGGACACAATCCCCCCCCCCCACACACACACACACACACACCCGTCCCAGGCCACAGCAAACAGCCCGCCAGGAGCCGCTCCCAGCCACTTGCAGAATTCTGGCACCTGCCAGCACCTCCCTGCCTGGGTCAGAGGGTCTCTCCAGACACACCCTCTGATTAAAAGCATCAGGAACATGCCTGGCCGGTGTGGCTCAGTGGTTGAGCTTCAACCCAGGAACCAAGAGCTCTCCAGTTCAATTCCCCGTCAGGGCACATGCCAGGGTTGCAGACTGGATCCCCAGTTGGGGGCATGCAGGAGGCAGCCGATCAGTGATTCTCTCTCATCATTGATATTCCTATCTCTCTTTCCCTCTCTCTTCCTCTCTCTCTCAAAATCAATGAAAACATATTTTAAAAATAAATAAGTAAAAGCAACATGAACGTAAAAGGAAGTTCCTCACTAGGGTCTGCAAAGCCACCTGGAATCCAGGTCACCTGACGCCAGAGCTCAGGGCTCCATCATCGCCGGCCTGCGGGCTGGCCCTCAGACATGGCTAGTTCCTCCCCACCCCAGGCCCTTTGCACGTGCTGCTCCCTCCAGGGAGGCTGTCTCCTCCAGGCCCCTCATCCCTGTCACTGCCATGTGCTTCCTCGGGGGCCATCCCTGACCACGGCCCCTCCAAGCGCAGAGCAGCCCTGCCCCTGACCCCATCTGTCACCATCCGCTCTGTGATGGCCTGTTTGACCCCCACCCCCACCCCTCCCCCAGGGTGGAAGCTCTCTGGGGGCGGGGACCTGTCTATCTCCTCCCGGCTGCTCCATGGCCAGGGGCCAGGCCCCAGAATCAGGAGGAAGGCACCTCATGGCGTGGCCTGACCGTCCACCAGCTGGGCGACCAGAGGGGCCACGCAAACTTCTGTGACCTCAGTTTCCACACCTGGGGCGGCCGAAGAGGGTGAGCCCAGGTCCTCCCCAGGGCCCGAGGCCAGCCCTGCGCCCCCACCCTCCCTCTCGGCTCAAGTCCACTCGCTCAGACTGTCTCTCTCAGGCACAGGGAGAGTCACGGGCCTCGCTCCCCACGCTGCCAACGGCTTCCAGGGCCTCCACCGGGATCTCTACCTCCCGGCCGAGCTCTCCTGGTGACGATCAGACGCCACACAGAGCCCCGCACACATGCCGGCCCATCATCGTTATCGCACAGAAATTACACTACCCGCGCCCCTCGGTGCTCCCAGAGCACCCTCTGCAGCGCGAACTGCAGTCATTACCGTGGAGGCCGCTGACTCACGTCCACATGGAGCCACGGGAGCCATGCAGGAGCCACACGGGAGCCATGCGGGAGCCACACGGGACGGGCACCGTGGCCAGGTCCCCCCACACCCCGGGGACAGGGGAGCCACTCTGTGTCCGTCGGGTGGGGGAGGGAAGACCTTGTGGGCGCTGAGACCCACCCCCCACGGAGTCAGCACAGGGTCCCTCGGGAGAGTAAGGCTGGAGGGTGCACAGCCGGGCCTGGTCCTCTGGAACCACCTGGAGCCACGTCGGGGTCGACAGGTGGGGGGCGGGGGTCCCATCGCCAACGTGGGGGAGAGGCTCCCATGGCGGGTGGCTGGGGGCTTCCTGCGACGGAGCTTCGGGTGGCTGTCCGGTCACCCCAGCGCTGCCTGTGCAGCATTTCGCGTAGGACTTTAAAATGTTAGGCCTTGGAGGGCGTCAGGGGAGAGCGTGAGGGCAGCGTCCCCGCCAGGACCTTCAGACGCCCAGACAGGGCTCAGCCAGCTCAGCCCGGTCCCAGGGCCCGGGGACAGGACCATTCCGGGGCCTAGAATCCAAGTGCGGGGCCAGCAAGACAGCGAGAGGCCGGGAGTCGGTGTCCGTGTGGCCCATCTCCAAGGCCTGACCCCTTCTGGTCTCCAGGGCGCACAGCTCACTCTGGGAGGGGATGTCCCCATCCCACACACAGCTCCCAGGACCCCAGGGCCATCCCGACACAGCATCTCCAAGCGGAACCTCCCGCCTCCCCACGGCCGATGCCCAGGGCGCTGCGCCCTTCGCCATCAGGCCCCAGTGGCAAGCTGCCTGGTGAGGCCGGAGCCCATTCGTTCAAACCTTCGTTTGAATCACAGGACTCATTAGACACTGGGTGCGGTCCTGTCTTCCCTTCCCATTCACCGTGGATCAAGGGGCCACGGCAGCCCCCCACCTCCCTCCTCTCCCCGCTCAGGAAGCAGGAGCCGGAGGCCGCACCCCAAAGCCAGCCCGCCCATCGCCCTACCCAAGGCCCCGGGCACCCGCGCCGAGCTGGGCCTCCCCGAGCTGTGAGCATCCACACGGCAGAATCCCCACCCCCTACCCCCGATGGAGCAGCCACATTGTAAGGCTCCTGACTCCCCCATCTGTGTTTGCCTCCCGAGAGGGAAAATAGTCTTTGCAGACATTCCCGTCTCTGGCAGGCGGATCCTAAACCTTACTGGCACCCGCACGCTTGTTTTCCCAAGCAAACAGCCACGGAGCCGAGAACGGCTCTGCCTGAGAGATGCCGGGGCGGGCGCCCACCAACAGCGCCTTCCGGGAGCCCCAGCCTCCAGGAGCGGTAGGCAGCCGCCTCCCCGGGAGCCCGGGCCCCGGGGAGCCCGAGAGAGGGAGGCCCGAGCCCGAGGCCACGGCACCCCTCTCCTTAGCGTGGGTCACACCGCCAAGCGGCTGATGGAAAACACCCACCGCAGTGTGAAATCAACACGTTCTCACTCCAATAGACGGAAAGCAGCCAGCCCTTTCGCGGCAGACACGTTCTCCCCCCGAAGTCCGCGAGGCAGCGCACGGCACGCGGCCCCCTCCCCGTCCCCGTCGCCAGGCGCACCGCGTCCCCTGGGATGGCACCAGCCACAGGTGTCCTCGCCCGCCCCACCCTTCCCCTGGCCCCCGCGCCTGGGCGACTGCGAATACACCCGATCGGGCGCTACCTGCGGAGCCTCCCTCAGCGGGGCCTGTATCGACGGCCAGGATTTCAATGTTCCCTTTCGCTTGTGACGTCCCTGTGGCACATGGCAACCATGTCGACGGAGACGCACCATCACACGGTCACGGGGAGTCACGGCTCTCAGAAAGCCATTTCAAACCTTCCCTTTGATTTGGTTGTGGCAAAACCACTCTGAGGAACACGGGCGCTTCCGGAACCAGAACGTGTCGGCGGCACCTCGGGACTAGGAGCTGAAGCCTCGAGTTCATTGCGGCAGAAAACTTCAGAAAAAGGTGAAGAGTGTAACATTGTGCCCGGCCGACTGGCTCAGTGGTTGCATGTCCACCTATGAACCAGTCAGGGCACGTGCCCACCCCCAGCGTGGGCTGTGCGGGAGGCAGCCGATCCACGCTTCCCTCTCATCATTGATGTTTCTCTCTCCCTCCCTCTCCCTTCCTCTTGAAATCAATATTTTCATGACCCCTTTGTTCCCTTCCCCACCACACAGCAATGCCTCCAGGCACAGGTCCGGCCAGCACCTGGCCCAGAGCTCCTGGGAGGAGAGGGGGGCCTGTTGGGTTGGAGTTCGTGTCCGGCCAAAGCCACCAGCACCTGGCGTCTTAC